AGTTTGGCTGGATATGAAATTCTAAGCTGAAAGTTCTTTTCTTGAAGGATGTTGAATATTGGCCTCCACTCTCTTCTGACTTGTAGGGTTTCTGCCGGGACACCTGCTGTGAGTCTGATGGGCTTCCCTTTGTGGGTAACCCAACCTTTCTTTCTGGCTGCCCTTAGCATATTTTCCTTCATTTCAACTCTAGTGAACCTGACGATTATGTGTCTTGGGGTTGCTCTTCTTGAAGACTTCATGACTAAAACACCAAAAGCATTGGCAACAAAAGGAAAAATAGACAAATGGGATCTAATTAAACTCTAGAGCTTCTGTACAGCAAAAGAAACAATCATTAAAGTGAACCAGCAACCAACAGAATGGGAAAAAATTTTTGCTGTCAACCCATCTGACAAAGGGCTAATATCCAGAATCTACAAAGAACTAAAACAGATATACAAGAAGAAAACAAACAAACCTATTCAAAAGTGGGTGAAGGACATGACAGACACTTTTCAAACGAAGACATATATGAGGCCAACAAACATATGAAAAAATGCTATCATCACTGATCGTTAGAGAAATGCAATTCAAAACCACATTGAGATACCATCTCATGCCACTTACAATGGTGATCATTGAAAAATCTGGAGACAACAGATGCTGGAGAGGATGTGGAGAAATAGGAACACTTCTATACTGTTGGTGAGAGTGTAAATTAGTTCAACCATTATGGAAGACAGTGTGACAATTTCTCAAGGACCTAGAAATAGAAATACCATTTGACTTAGTAACCCCATACTGGGTATATATCCAAAGGATTATAAATTGTTCTATAATAAAGACACATGCACGTGTATGTTCACTGTGGCACTGTTTACAATAGCAAAGACCTAGAACCAACCCAAATGCCTACTGATGATAGACTGGACAAGGAAAATGTGCCACATCTACACCATGGAATACTATGCAGCCATAAAAAATGATGAGTTTGTGTCCTTTGTAGGGACATGGATGAATCTGGAAACCATCATTCTTAGCAAACTGACACAAGAACAGAAAATCAAACACTGGATGTTCTCACTCATAGGTGGGTGTTGAACGATGACAACATATGGACACAGGGAGGGGAACATCACACACTGGGGTCTGTTGAGGGGAATAGCGGAGGGACAACGAGGACTATGGAGGTTGGAGAGGGATAACATGGGGAGAAATGCCAGATATATGTGATGGGGGGATGAAGGCAGCAAACCACCTTGCTGTGTATGTACCTATGCAGCAATCCTGCATATTCTGCACATGTATCCCAGAATCTAAAGTGCAATAAATATATATATATATATATATATATATATATATATATATTTTTTTTTTTTTTAAAGTAGTTCTACTTTTAGTTCTTTAAGGAATCTCCACACTGTTTTCCATAGTGGCTGTACTAGTTTACATTTCCACCAGAAGTGGAAGTTGCCTGTCCACGGCATCCACACCAACATCTACTGTTTATTGATTTTTTTATTATGGCCATTCTTACAGGAATAAGGTGGTACCACATTGTGGTTTTGATTTACATTTTCCTGATGATTAGTGATTTGAACATTTTTTTCATATGTTTGTTGGCCCTTTGTATATCTTCTTTTGAGAATTGTCTATTCATGTCCTTAGCCCACTTTTTGATGTGATTTTTTTTTTCTTACTGATTTGTTTGAGTTAATTGTAGATTCTGGATATTAGTACTTCATCAGGTTTACAAATTGTGAAGATTTTCTCCCACTCTGTGGGTTGTCTGTATACTCTGTTGACTGTTCCTTTTGCCCTGCAAATTCTTTAGTTTAATTAGATCTAGCTGTTTATCTTTGTTTTCATTGCATTTGCTTTTGGGCCCTTGTTCATAAAATCCTTGCCTTAGCCAATGTCTTTAAGGGTTTTTCCAGTGTTATCTTCAGAATTTTTATAGTTTCAGATCTTAGGTTTAAGTCCTTTATCTATCTTGAGTTGAGATGATTCAAACAAAGGGAAACACATCCTATGCTCATGGATGGTTAGAATCAATATCGTACTGCCAAAAGCAGCCTACAAGTGCAATGCAATCCCCATCAGAATACCAACATTATTCTTCACAGAGTTAGAAAAAAAAGAAAAAATTCTAAAATTCATATGGAACCAAAAAAGAGCCCACATAGCCAAAGCAAGAGTAAGCAAAAACAACAAATCTGTAGGCATCACACTACCAGATTTCATACAATACTGTAAGGCTATAGTCACCAAAACAGTGTGGTACTGGCATAAAAATAGCTACATAGACCAATGGAACAGAATAGAGAACTCAGAAATTAACCCAAATACTTACAGCCAACTAATCTTTGACAAAGCAAACGAAAACATAAAGTGGGGAAACGACACCCTTTTCAACAAATGGTGCTGGGATAACTGGCTAGCTATATATAGGAGAATGAAACTGGCTCCTCATCTCTCACCTTATACAAAAATCAACTCAAGATGGATTAAGGACTTAAACCTAAGACCTGAGAATGCTTTCTTAATGGTACAGTGATCCTTTACAGTTTAAATAACCTAAAAGGAAACTGCCTATATTTTATACGCTGTTCATTTATATGCATATAGCTATAATAAAATATAAACTTTCTTAGATTCAGTTAGAAATTTGGCTGCCTTCCCAGCAAAATGCAAGTATATAAAAACTGAATTTCCTCATCTGTTTAACAAGTTGGCCTTGTCAACCCTTAATATATATATATATATATTCAGTGATAACACATCTTTTTACTGTGTTTGAAAAATTCATATGCTGAAACATGATCTATGTTTTGACACTGATAACTAACAGTCTGATTTTTTAAAATCCCTACCTAGACTTCTTTCATGGAGCAAATTGTGTAAATTCTCAGGTCGCTACATAAGCAATAGTCTATTTCCTTTTTTTCTTGAGTACATTTTCTGTTCCCTGCTTTTTCTAATTGAATACATTAGATTAAGGTACTTAGATTCATCATTTTTAACTTTTTATTTAACAAATCTTCATATTTAATAGGAAGTGTTATAAAACTAAATGGCAGATTTTGTGGGAGGGCATAAAAATGTGAAGGACAGCTAGCATGTTATAGAGGAAGAAAAAAGACAGGTTTAAAACCAGGCTACCTCTGAACCTGAAACCCAAACTTGTCACTTACTTGCTGCAAAACTTTAGGAAAGTCACTTATCTTGCATAAGTCTCTGTTTTCACATCTGAGAAAGGAGGTTTAGTGTTAAGCAAATTAAGTTGTACTGTTTGAATTGGGGCCTTCTGCACCCTTCCGTAGCTCAGCTGGTAGAGCAGAGGAATGTAGACTGTAGAAACATCTGTGAAATGGGGTCCTCAGAATAGACAATCAGGAATTTATATCTGTATCTTATACAAGGTGAAGATTAGAGATAACCGATTTTGTTTAACTTTTACTAAAATATTAAATATGGTATTTATCTTGTGTTGGAAATTTAAGGATTGTACAAAACCAGCTATAAATATATTGTACTTTAAAACAAGCAGCATGATGTGCTTCCATCAGAACTAAGTGGGCAAAAACACATTTGACTTTTAGGCCTTTGCTTTGATTACTGAAAAAGTGTTGTCTTCTGAACAGATATTGAGTAATATTTGTTTCTTCTAAAGCGGTGTGCAACAACAGTTGTGATTTGACTCATTACCTTTCAGTTTCTCAAGCAGAATTTGGCTATGTAATACAGAATCTTACTAATAGGCTAAAGGTATTTTAAAAGATACGTCTAGGGAGAGAGTCAACCTGGTCTCGATAGTCATAGTACATACCAACCCTATTGTCTTTTACAGCTCTCATAGTTATGAATTGACTCCCCTGGGGTCTGTTTTCTGCCATACGGTTATGTGAATATTTTCATTGCAGCCTTTCCAACTTAAAGCTAATCTTCTTTAAACATGAAAAATAACTTTTATCCCTTACAAAGAAAAGCCATTATAAATGTTTTGAGACCTCCAAGTGTTTTTGAGTTATTAAAATTATGAGATGAAGCATTTATTGGAATGTGTCTTGTTGTTTAAGACTAATATGTTGGCAATAAAGTTTAAAAAAAGTGCTATGGCAAGTGTTTGCCTCATTGTAGTTAGAAAAACAGTCACTGTTAATGTACTACAGCATTTAATGACACTTCTGTGTGTGATAAAAGCAAAAAGTACTTTCATTAGTTAAACAGATAAAAATGGCTTACTTTCTCATGTACTCTTTTTGAACTTCTTGCATATATAATTTTCTTTTGTTAAACATGTAATCTGTCAACTAATCAGCAAAGATTTGTTGTACACCTTTTCTGCAGTGTATGTTGTGCTAGTTCTTATGCAGAATAAGACAAGGTAAGTGGCTTCCCATCACTTTGGAGAGGTAATCAAGTCTCTAAATGATACAGATAGTAATATTAGCTGATGTACGAGTAAGCGACAATATTAGAGGTACCAAATAGGATGTCCCAGTGTATTCTATGAAACATTATTTCTTTAAAACGATCTGGGAAAAAGATTCTACAGCCAAATGTGTGTGGGAAATGTGGCCTAAAATACAGCTTTTTTAAAGATTTGTAGTATACTGTAGCATATTAAGGGGCCTGAGGAGACCTGCAGTAAAGAAGCCTGTAAAAATCACTTGACTAAGCAATTTTTCAAGCTTATTTTTCTATGTGCTGAGTATCTCCTACAGGAACCCACTTTAGGAAATGCTCCTTGATTTGGAATCTTTAGAATCTAATCCAACAGAGTGTCCCCTTAAAGGGTGGGAAAGCCTGCTTTTTCAGACTAAATGTTGGTTTTAAAATAGTGTTACATTTATAGATGCGTTATTGAGGCCTGTGGAGACTGTTACAACTTTTCAGGCGGAAAACTTGGCAAGACATGTAACAGTATAAAATATAAAATGTAAATGCTCTTTGGCTTAGGGATTATACTTCTAGAATTTACTCTTGTTCTAAAGATCTTAATGGCTAAGCATTGCCTCTGAAGAATAATCTCATCAGCCTGCCATTTAATATCATCCACAACATTTCCTTAATACAGTTTGGGATATACCAGCATGCGCAAATATGTGTTATGTAAATGAAGAATAGAGACATATTTATAGAGGCTATAAAGTTTGGGAAAAGATTCATGGAGCAGGCGGAAGTTAGAGCAGCCCTATTGTATGAATGGTATTTTGATAGAAGAGAAGTCATTATGCCCTTGATACTCCAAATTCTAAGTTCAAAATGGGCAATTGGCACATTGTGGAGTTAATTGAAGATTTGTGTGTGTGTGTGTGTGTGTGTGTGCTGGTGATGCTACTATATGTCAGGCAGGGTTCTAAGAACTTTATTATATCATTTCACAAAACCAACCCATTATATGAATACTATTATTTTCTTATTTTTTTGACATGAAGAGACAGATTTCACAGTTTTCCTTGGGTCACACTGCCAGTGAAAGTTTGAGATTGGTAAACCCATCTCAGAGCCTGAATTTTAGCCACTTTGTTTCATTGAGATCAGAATGTTGTCTAAGCCCCAGAATACAAAATACCTTATAAATCTTGAGAAAGTGAGATTTTTTTCCCATCATACTGAAATTTACATTATTTGATGGAGTTTTTGATGGATATAAAACCAGGAGAAATTATGAACTATTGCCGTTATTTAAATTGTAATAGTACATATGCATTCAAAAAAAATTAGACTATGTAAATTCTGAACTTGTCCTGGTTGGAAGTGAAACCAGTCAAATTGAATATCTACACCTTCACACTTGACTCTCTGTTAAAGAATTTTATGGTTTCCAACATAGGTAGGATACATACAGAATGGTTATGATGACTTGCCTATTTGTTTTATTTTACCATATAATCAGTAAGAATTGAGATTGAGGCATTTGTGATGCAAGCTTATCTATCCACTCTCACAGCAGAATACATGTGAAGGACATCTATGTTAAGACATTGACTGGAAGACATAGATTGCCTAAAGATCACAAAGACACTAAGGACATTCCAAAATTAATTGTTAATGTTAATACAAATAATGTATAGAATACATTATCTATATCTGTTAGTGTTAATAAGGATAATGTATAGAATACTCAATTATAGGAGAAATCTTCTGTTTATTATCTTATTACAAATGAAAGAGAAGTATTTTTCATTGCACAAAATTCTAAAGAAGTATCTTTTTTTTTTTAAAAACTGTTTCTTAAATGTATTAGTTAATTGCTATTAGGAAAATTTCTTCTCTAATATTGAGTGTCTTTATTATTATTATTTTTTTGCAAGCACTCTCATGGGAGAGTGTCTTTATTATTTGTCTTTTCTTTCATGCATTAGGCTAATACCTGAAGTATTTAATAAAGTTCAGTTAGCACCAGAAATAATATGTACAGAGGACAGAGTAGCTATTAATAAACAGCTATTATACATTCAGTATTATAGGTATTGGATATCCAAATAAGAAAAGGAAATAAAAGACACATAAGAAATAGAACACAATCAAAACATTGGTGGTTTTTGTTTTTAAAATGCTCAGATCTCACTGAATGCAGTAAACAGGCCAGGAACTTCTTGTTTATCTGGTATCCAATTTCATTTGGCATTGTGTCTGCAACTTCTTTCTGAGAAAATAGTAGACAATCTGAAGAGTTTTAAAAATCAAAACAAAAGCCAAGTGATGACATAGATTTAGTAGAATATAACACAACCTCCTAAATATTCTCTGTAATACAACACTAGACAATGACAAATGACATTATTGCCGTGCTATATTTTGTCCATGCACTGAGTATCTCCTACAGGAACCCACTTTAGGAAGTCCTCCTTGATTTAGAATCTTTAGAATCTAATCCAACAGAGCGTCCCCTTAACGGGTGGGAAAGCTTGCTTTTTAAGACTAAATGTTGATTTTAAAACAGTGTTACATTTATAGATGCATTATCAAGGCCAGTGGAGAATGTTACAACTTTAATAGAGTTCAGTAAGCAGAGCAATGTCTTATGGTCTCAGAGAAAAACTCAATTTTATGTATGATTGTTTTCATGGAAAATATATTCAATTATATTCAAACTTTTCGAAACTGATTTATGTATGTGTTAGTATATTGTATTTTTTATACATAGGAAGTTTGATTTCCAGAAATAAAAACCATAACATTTAAAAGAAAATTAGTTGATCAAGTAAAAGAAGCAAATGTGTAATATTTGACCATGGCAGTTTTTCATTATTCACATAATTATGTATATGAAGTTTCAAAAATTAGAACTTCCAGATTAAAAAGCCTACAACCATTTTCTATAGTTTAAAGAAATAAAAGCATAAAAAATACAGTTTCAAAGATAAATACCAATCTTAATTTTTAGTATCTAGAATTTGCACATTTATTTTTTGCTGGGAAAAGGAAACTATTATATATAGTAAACCATAACCAGCTTTAATAGACTTTGTATTGTGTTTTAATAGCTGGTCTATTTATTGAGATTTATTAAAAATAAAACTATTAAGACATATAATTAACTTTATTAGCAAATTCTTACTTACAAGGTTTTTTCTATGTTTCAAAAAGTATTATTTTTGAAACAATTTCTTCCAGAAATAAGCCATTTAAAGCATGTTCATGCAGATATTTATTTGTGGTCTTTTGTTATGTCTGTTCTCAAATCTTGTGCTATGTTAATTGGCAACATTGATTTGTTTCCATAATAATTACAGTTTTTAAACTTCTTTTGTGCAAGATTTAAAAATTTGTAAAACACATTGCTATTATCAGAATTTGAATAGCATAGAATTGTTTTATTTTAAAATAATATGAAATAAAGTAAAATAAGAAAATACTTTTTACTTTAAAGCAATTAAGCAGGGGATAATTGCTGTCTAGTTTTTTAGATTAATAAATATTAATAGATTTATTCTTACGTTGTGGTTGTTCATTGGTTTAAAATGTCTACTACTTCTCCCTTATTATTTTCTGGTTTGTGCTCTTCAGAGAGATGATGGAAAATTACCAAATAGAAACAGTTCAGCTTTATTTTAATTCATATATAAAAGAAGAAAGTTTAATCTTCCAGAGAAATGCATTGTTTGGATTTAGTTTATTATCTAAACAGTAAAGTAAGATATTTAAATTAAGTGTTTCTATTTAAAGAAACCTAATAATTATTTTAGGCATTTGTTTTTAATGACTATTTTAAAGGTATTATGGGGATACTTTCTCCTTAAAAGTTGCATAACTGAAGATTTAATATATACCTTGAATCTCCTTAGCAGCTGTCACAATTTTAGGACTAAAAAAACCACTTTGAACAAAACTTTTAGAAACTCACTACTTAGATGCTTTAGCAGCAATTTAAACCATGAAGTTAAATCTACTCAGCTTCTCAAAAGCCCCTGTTGTTTCTGACCTAAGGTTTTGTCACAGTTGATCCTTTTGCTTAACACACCAGCTTTTCTCCCCTTTCCTGCTCTTTTCATTTAGCTAATCACTGTTTATCCTTTTGAGTCTCTGTGTATTAATCCGGATAGGTAATTTGATGATTCATTAAAACAGGGCTGGGTACACGTGCTCATGCCTGTAATCCCAGCACTTTGGGAGGCCGAGGTGGGTGGATCACGAGGTCAGGAGTTCGAGACCAACCTGGCCAACATGGGGAAACCCCATATCTACTGAAAATACAAAATTTAGCTTGGCATGGTGGCAGGCACCTGTAATCCCAGCTACTCTGGAGGCTGAGGCAGGAGAATTGTTTGAATCAGGGAGGTGGAGGTTGCAGTGAGCCAAGATTGTGCCACTGCACTCTAGCCTGGGCAACAGAGCAAGACTTCACCTCAAAAACAAAACAAAACAAAAACAAAGACCAAATCTTAGTCACTTGGCATAACAAGCTTTTTATTCTCATTCAAAGAAGCCCTATTGTGGATTGACCTGACTGTTGGTCATGGACTGCTGTCATTAATGTGGTGTCTCTTTCCATTTGTTCCATCTTGTGATACTTCCATCTTAACATATAACTCTTCAATAGCTACACAGAGGTTGACGGCATGAAAAATCATGCAACACTTTTGAAGTACTTATTTCTGGAAGTATAATTTGCCCAAGTATTCAGGAAGGAGAAGGTTGGTGGGCATTAGTAATGTCTACTAATCCTTGCATAAATAAAACGTTTTCTTATCTTTTGTTGATCTCTGTTCTACCCCCAACCTTCTCTAGCTGTTCTCTCATAACCATGTGTTCTTTCTTTTTTCGTAGTCATTATCATAATGAATTTTTTGTCTATCTTTTTCCTCTCTATATTGTAAGCTCCATGGTTCCTTGACTTCTGTGACTACATCTGTTTTTGCTCGCCACTTTGTCCACATTAACTGAAACAGTAAGCAGCTAAATATATTGATTATGTATTAAATATTTGTTATATACTTATTTATTGAATTAATGAACTAATGAGCTTCTATGGCTTGCAGTCTTCAATTAGAGTGCAAAATGCTTAAGTTGGATTTATGTTGATTTCTTTTGGATCTCCCATGGTTTCATGTGTGATTTTCACATAGTATGCAACAAATACATTATTAATCTATGAATCAAGTATATATTTAGAACATCTTATATGCTTGACACTATTTTTAGGAAATCTGTCTTAGGGAATTATTGTCTCTCAGTACAAGTAAGAGAAAACTTTGACTTTTGGCAGCCAGAAATAATTTTTCCATGAGATATTTTTGTCAACCTCCTCCCTCATCCAATTAACAAAACCCTTGTTATAGACCTACCATGGTAAAGACTGTGCTAGGAATTTGCTGGAGGAAAAAATGGGAGAAGGCATTTCAAAGGAATAAGGCATGATCTCTGTCCTCAAAGAGTTGACCATCTCTTAGGAATAAGATGTGTATAGAATCATAACTGTTGAAGAAAGAAATACAGTATAGGGCATAAGAGCTGGGACTATGAATTCTGGATCAACTATCAACTGTAGCTTAAGGCTAGGAATATTAAAGAAACCTTTATGAATGAAGTAATGTTTGATCTGGGTCTTAAATGCTTAGGCATATTGAAAAGGGCAGAAGGCCATTCCAAACTGAGGAAAATACAAAGATCTATAAGTAGTTGTAGAAACAAAAATGGTGTCCATCAGCATTCTAAATTCTTTTCCCTTGACTACAAAAATGGAAGATAATGATTCCTAAGTCGTCTTTTTTTTTTTTTTTCCTAGTTTTTTTGAGATGGAGTCTTGCTCTGTCACCCAGGCTGGAGTGCAGAGGCATTATCTGGGCTCACTGCAACCTCTGCCTCCCAGGTTCAAGCAA